GACTAAATCCTTTCACCTAAAACCAAACCAAACCAAACCATTTTAGGGAAGTTGTCGACGTCAGATTTGGTGGAGAGTGTAGGAAACAAGGAGAAAGAAGGAAAGAAATCAGAGTTGGTGGAGAGTGCAAGGGAAACAAGGATAAAGAATGAAAGAACGAAAGAGAAAATAGGAAAAAGGAGAAAGAAGGAAAGAAAGAGAAAATAGGAAAAAACAGGCGTCATTAGAGGGAGAGAAAAGAAGAGTAAGCCAAAAGTAATAAGTAACAATAGAAAAGAGGAAGAGAATAACTTCAGAGTTGGTGGAGACCGGAGAGAGCAAGGGAAACAGGGAGAAAGAAAGGGAACAAAAAAACAAAAGAGAAACCGTGAGCCATTATAGTCTGGAGAGAGAGAAAAGAAGAAACAAATCAATAATAAATTAGAGGGGAAAAACATTGTAGGAGAGAGAGAGAGAGAGAGAGAGAGAGAAAAGAAGAAACAAATTAACAAGAAAAGAAGCGATGGAGAAAGAGTAATAAATGAGAGAGAGAAAAAAAAGAGTAATAAATGAGGGAGAGGGAGAAAATTTGCACCAAATTTTTAAAAAAATTGCTTGCTTTTATTGGCTCGCGAGCCGGCTCTAACTCAGCTCGTTAAGCTGGCTCGCGAGTTAGGCTCGAAATCTTTTTTTCTCTTTACGAGTCGAGCCGAGTCAAAAAATTAAAGACTCGACTCGACTTGAATTTTTTTTTCCTTTCACGAGCTGAGCTCGTTAAGCCAAAATCTTGGCTTGGCTCGTTAACTGCCCTATCCGTAGCACTTGCTTGTAAGTTGTAAAGGTTCATTAATTATTGTTGGATGAGACAACGTATATCCTCATTAATTTAGTTAATTGCAATTACGCAAAAATGGCGGTTGAGTTTTTAAATGAAAAGCTTTTCCCCTAAATATTGCTGTAGCTAGAGCCCGCGGTGGGCTGTGCTTGGCTCAACACAAAAAAAGCATGACACAACAAGGCATGACACGAAAAAAAAGCACGACATAGCACGAAAAAACATGGCACGAAAAAAAGTACGGTACGGCATGAAAAATATGCAAGTCATGCCGTGGACCTTAAAAAAAGCCCGTAGGCTGGCACGGTACGATACGAAAAAAATAAAATAATAAAATTAATAGCTATTTCTTAAAATGGCAGTTACCCCCCTGTGCAAGGGGGTAACGACTATTTTAAAATAGCTGTTACCCCTGCACTGGGGTAACGGCTATACTTGTAAAACTGAAAACAAGTGCAAAGGCAGAAAGAGATATGGCCATGCTGGGCATAACGTAAAGTTTCTGGACATATTACGGAATGAGCTGTTAAGAGTTTGAGGCCGCTTTTGTTTGGCTATTCAAACACTATCCTATCTTAAAAAATAAATAAAAAATGTGTTTGTTTTAATATTTTTTAAAATCGAATCGTATTATATTCAACTCAAAACATTAACAATGATCTTTTTTAATAAAAATTTTAAAATTAGCAAAAACACTCTCCACTGTTGCCACCGTGATAACAACACATGACCGATTAGATTTGACCGATTATGCACCGATCTTACCTTTTTCAGCCAGATCTATCATAGATCTGGCCTTTTCTGGCTAGATCGACAATAGATTTGATCGAAAAATGCAAGATTGGCACATGACTGACTAATTCTGGTCGATCATGTCGGTGTGCCATTCCAACAACTGACGGCCACTATTTGGTGGTGGTGGCCGGCTATCAGCAATTGATTGGGTGGGTAGGTGGGTTTTTGTTAATTTATATTTATAAACTTTTTTTTGGGGGGGGGGGGGGAGAAGGTGTTTATCCCTGCCCATCAAGGTTTTATGGCCCGGCTGGTTTAACTGGTTCGATCGGAAACCGATGGCTTAGCTGGGTCGGTCAGGGTACAAAATCGGAAATGAGAATTATCCCATTTTGACCCGCTGTTGGACCAGTTTTACTGCAGCGATCCACCGGTCCAACCGGTTTTGTCAACTCAAATTCCTAAGTTCTAAGATTCAAATCCCTTTTACAATTTTCAATTAAAGACATGAGGCTAACCAACCCAAAAAAATAATACTAATCAACGAAGCCACAAGAAGAAGAGAGAATCCAACTCGAAGAAGAGGAGAAAAAACAAGTGAGAGGAGTTGAAACCCTAGGCCGTTGCTGCTGCGGTGGTAATGGTGGTGGAGAATGGTGGAGGTGCATATAACTGTGGCCGCACACAGCTAATAAGAGAGAAGAAAATGAGGATTTTGTGAAAAAGGAAGAGTGAATGTGTTTGTGTGTTTTGGTGTAGAAGGCATGCACCTTTTAATTAGAGGAAAGCTGAAGAATCGGAAGAGCTTTAATAATTAAAACAGAAGAAATGAAAGAGTAAAGAACAGCAAAGAGAGTTGGAGAAAGAAGTTATTGAAGCTTTCTCTCTATACTCTTCTTCGTTCCTGCAATCTTAAGAATAGAAGAGATTGACAATAAATCATTAAGGTGCACTTATATTGCATTTAATGAGCTTTCATTGAAAATAAAAAACAAATATTAAATGTCAAGTACTGAATTGCATTTAATGAAAAACAAATAACAAACTGTTTATTGGTGTACACGTATGAGAGGTGAGAGATAAGGAGAAGTAGACAGAAAACATTAATTGGCTGATGAGATCAAGAAAATGATGTCTTCAGTTTAATCCGTCGGTTGAACTGGTTAATCTGGGACCTGATCATTTGTCTAGGTCATTGATCGGGTCGATTTTTAAAATATTACTGCCCATAGCTCTTTTCATTTATAAGCATTTTATGATGCAAATTAGGTTTTTTGTCCAACTACTAGGTAGGGGAGTTCAAAAAAATATAAAAATCGAATCGAAAAACCGATTAATAAAAAAAAGGGTTTAATTACGGTTTAAGAAATTCAAAAAATCAAATTTTTGGTTCGATCTCTTCACTACGATTGCCTTCTTTAAAAGGCAAACCAAACTACTAGGGTAGGTAGTGGTGTGTCATTTCTTTTGGTTGTGAGCTGAGAATTTTTGACAGCGGAAGGGAGCTGAAAGCGAAGATAGTAAGCCCTCGATTAGTAATTAGTATAAGAATAAGAATAAGAGAACCTGATTCCAGCCGTACTATTAGAACTTTTATCTCGAGACTTGTTAGGAGTAATAAAATAATAATAATTTAAACTAAATCCCTAAAAAAAATTGTTAATAGTGGTCAATAGATATGTATGAATGTTTAATTTTTGTTTGGATATGTATTGTTTATATTTACAATTTAATTTAGGAAAAAAAAAGTTTTATCAAATAAAAAAGGGAAAACCGGTTCGGTTTAGGTTAAAAAAAAGTAGTTAACCGGTTCGGTTAACCGCTTTTGAACACCCCTACTACCAGGAAGTCTTTAACTGGTTATTGTGTCTATCTTGGCTCTTCTCTAATCTTTTGGAAAACTAAGAAACAAACCACTGTCTCCAGATCCTCTGCTGAAGCTGAATATCACGGCCTTGCCTCTACTGTTTGTGAATTGCATGGATTTCTTATATTCTTCAAGACTTTCATGTTCATCTTCACCTTTCTATTCCTCTCTGGTGTGACAATCAGGTTGCTCTCCATATCACTGCCAACCCTGTCTTTCATAAGTGCACCAAACATCTCGAAATTGATTGTCATTTGGTTCGCAATCAATTTAAGGCTGGTTTTGTTCATCCTCAACATACTCCTTCGAAGCTGCAGGTTGTCGACATTTTCAGCAAATCCTTAGCTGGTCCTTTGTTTCATCAATTTACTTCCAAGTTGGGCTTGCTTACAAATAAGTTATTTTATTGTAATATTCAGTATAGTTGGTTACATTAGTTAGTTGCTGAGCTGTAAAGCAGTTAGTTTGTTAGATTAATTTTGTTTTTGTTAGCTACAGTTCTTTGTATATATACAGCAACCTTTTACTTTGAGTAATGCTATGTGCACTAACCAATGTGTACTAATCTAAGTACTAACATTGAAAATTTAAAATTTTTTTTTGAAGGGAATTTCAAATTTCCAATGTTAGTACTTGGATTAGTACTCATTGATTAGTACACATAGTTTTATTCTTTTACTTTACTCAATAACAGAATATATGACTTTACCCAAATAGCTTTTACTCTATAAAGCTTGCGTTACTCTGTTCAGAATGTTATCTCTACAAATATATATAAGTGAGAAAATGGAAAATGAAGAAAAGAAAAAACAGAGGAGCAGTTGTTCAACTAATAATTGAGAACAATGTTTCATTCATATAAGTTGTATAAAAAATTCTGAGTTCTCAAAGCTACTGCCGGCAGTACAAGTTGAATTAATTTAAAAAGTATTTATAACCTAATGCTAAATGAAAGTAAAGAGATTCTAATTACAAATCCATAAAGATAAGTAAACAATTCAAGTATTCTCAAAGTAGATATTCTAACTAAACAATTTCTTTTATTTGAAATTAATTATATACAAAAAGAATGAATTGTTGGAACCACATACCAGTTCCAAATGCAGTGCAGTAGCTACAGAATTTGTGAAACTTTATTGTGGCAACACATTTAAATGAGATTTCAGAATAGAGTTTGTACCTTTATCTCCCTTGAGGATATGCAAAACTTCCAGCAACCACCTCGGCTAGCAGATAGGTTATTAATAGGAAGAGTTTATTAAGATAAAGTGGATCCTTAGTGATAGATTTCATTCTTTGCTTCTGTCAGTCGAAAGATAAAGCATCTGTAACTTAATACAAAGTGAAAGTAATGAGATTCTGATTCAAAAAAGCATAAAAGATGCGTAAACAGTTTCAAGTATTCTAAATTAAATATGCTTACTAAAAAATACGTTTTACATTTATTATACCAGTTACCAGTTTCAAATGCAACTACCTGCAGACTGGATCAATCAGTTGTTTTGTCTTCTACTTCTAGTCATTGACAATCCAGGTAATGACTAGAATTAAATATTCTAATTTTAGTCATTACCTGGATAACCCCTAAGGTTTAGAAAAAATATAACAGTGGTAAGTGGTAACCCTCTGGATTGGAAAAGGCANTGATAATGGTAAAAGCAAGGAATGCCTCAACAAGTCAAGGATATGTTTGATCTCGATTTTACCTTCGTGGAATTGGTTTGGTGTAACAGATGGTTTATTGGATGAGAATATATTACCGAAGAAGTCAAGGGCAAGTTGGATTAGGGATTCGTCGGGAGAAAGTTTGGTCAAGCTAAACAAACGCTCAAGCACCATCCAAGGAATTTGGTTTTCAAGCAAAATCAGGTCATGGTTTAAATATTCTTGTAAACAAGAAATGGTGAATATGGGGTCATTTGGATCTCTAAGTTCTTTTTTGGCATCTTTGCGGAACAACTCAATAATGAAGCAACCATCAAGTAGCAAAATCTCTACAAATTTCTTCGTCCTAAATCCAACTGACTCTGCATAGCAATTACGGGCCTCTGCCTCAACTGACCTGATGGCTTGGACTAGCTGACTATATAGCTCCTCCGGGCATGTTGATCGACCAAGGAGGCCTTGTAAATAGTCCCATTTGACTTTTTGTGTGAATTTCTGTTGCTTTCCATGGTGAAATGGCCCAAATGAAAATGCATTGGGTTCATACGCTGCTTCATTATGCTTACAGAGAATTGTTGGGGTTCTAAAGATGGAAAAATTAGGTGACACTGAGAAGTTATAACGCATTATATTTTCAAACGAACACTGCAACGAGTTGATGTTAATCGTACTGTAATCCTCTTTTTTACTCTCTGCCATACTGATCTTTATATTGTATCTCTGAGAAAGAAAAAAATAAAAAACTCACCTTAATTGAAAATTACTTAAAGCCGGCATTTGAGAACTATAAATGTTNTAGGTGTTGCAAATACTTCAATCTTCAATTTTGATTTGGTAGCTCTTACTTCTTAATTCATTAGTTTCCATTTAAATATACAAATTTAATCTTCAATATAAATAAAAACTATAAAGAAAAGAATATACATATAAATTCTAAGAGAAAACAAGTTAAAATAAATCTTTATACAATTACCAATTTCTTCATCCTACTTCACCAAAATCAACCTAAAAAACATTTTAATACGGAGATCTTCATCAAAATCAAACTAAGAAACATTTTAATACTGAGTTCATTAGGCAAAACAATCAAATTTCACACCAAATAAGATTTAATCTCTAAGTCACACAACACTTTCCTAAAAAACAAACACAAATAAACTGATAAGCATTCAATTATCAATTTCTTCATCAAACCCCTAGCAAATCAATGGTCGTCACCAAGCACTAAAGCATTAACACTTTTTATCACACACGACACCCAGAATGGAATACAAGGTCTGCAAGAATGCGAGAATCAAAAGAATTGCACCCACTACTTGGGAAACCAGAGCCAAGGGGGTGGTGTAGTTTTGAAAATAGAAAATGCGCCATCTGGGCCACCAGCGTTTACGGTGTTTCTTCTCTTCCAGGCAAATGTCTTGATAAAAGAACTGCTTCACATATGTATCATAGTATAGCTTGTTGAAGAATTGCTTTGCGTCCTCTGGATTCAACCAATTATCGATAATATTCTTATCGCTGAGTATCTCAACGTCTTTGCTGATCTTAATGAGATTATCCATCAGTTTCGCATAAGAAGTGACTATGGGTGGATAATTTGGACAACATTGTTCAAAGCTGATGAGGTTTCGAAGAATGGTTTCAGTTGTCTCTTGAATCAGTAGAGGTGGAATCTCTAGTACACCATTTTTAAATTTTATTTCCAATATTCTTTCTGCTTTTTTTTTCTTAAACTTGATACCGGCCTCGTTGATCTTTGTAGCACAAGGGAAGGGTTCCCATCCCGTGGGTTTTTCATTGAACTTATCTGGTGATAATGGTAAAAGCAAGGAATGCCTCAACAAGTCAAGGATATGTTTGATCTCGATTTTACCTTCGTGGAATTGGTTTGGTGTAACAGATGGTTTATTGGATGAGAATATATTACCGAAGAAGTCAAGGGCAAGTTGGATTAGGGATTCGTCGGGAGAAAGTTTGGTCAAGCTAAACAAACGCTCAAGCACCATCCAAGGAATTTGGTTTTCAAGCAAAATCAGGTCATGGTTTAAATATTCTTGGAAACAAGAAATGGTGATTATGGCGTCATTTGGATCTCTAAGTTTTTCTTTGGCATCTTGCGGAACAACTCACAATGAAGCAACGTCAAGTACCAAAATCTCTACAAATGCTCTCCTCAACACAGCTTTCAAGTGGCCCTGCATAGCAGCAGGGCCGTCTCTAGAACATTTGACCCTAGGCAGGAGTTACTTTGGGCCCTCTAATAATATAAGCATATTTAAAAAATTATTATTATTATTATTATTTTTTTGCCTTTTGAGATGAAAAATCACTAGGAGAGGGCACATCAACCAGCAGGCTACCAAGGTTAGGTTGGTGGGGGGTTTTGAGAAGATGTTGGAGAAGTGATGGGTGGTGAAATGGGTGATTTCCAATGCCAAGATTGATAAGAAAATGCTTGGAGTCATGGCCCAAAGGTATCGTGGCCGACTGATTGGCAGAGCAAACGATATAGGAATGTGATAGGGGTTTTGGTATGGGCTGAGGGAGGAAGATTGTGTTGGGGAAGGCCAACAATGTCGAGTACATGCCAAAAGGCTAAAAATGGCTGTCGTGTAGTGGAGTTGGGTTGCGAGATTCATAAAAATTAGTCAAATCAGGGCTTCAAGTTGGGAATATGATGATGATTTCATTCGATTTTGGTGAAAAATCGACCGGAACCAAAATTGACCGAAGTCACTCCAACCACTGCGCAAAAGAGGGCTGGAGATGATTTATGTGAATGTCAAATTTTGGGATTGAATTAGGGGTGTAGTATTTGAGATATGAAAAACTATTTTAGTCTTCCATGCTAAAAAGATTCAATGTATTAATTTAGGGGTATTAACTAGATATATAAAACTAGAAGTACAAACTTGCTATTTTGTTAAACTTTGGGTGAGAATATATGTAAAAAGTTTATAATAAATTGGATTTTTTTGGCTTTTTTTTGGGGTCTCTTGCTTAGATAAAATTATAAACCATTTTTATTTTTGTAAGATATTAAAAAAAAAAAAATTTATAAAAATTTGGTGGCCCCCTTTGTTTTTGGCCCTAGGCAGTGTCTCACCTGCCTACCCCTTAAGCCGGCCCTGCATAGCAGCCCCGCGCCTCTCGCTGAATCGATCTGATGGTTTCTGTGAGCTGACTATATGCTCCTCTGGATTGTTTGATCGTGCGAGGAGGTCTCGCAAATACTTCAATTTTATTTGTGTGTGGCTTCGATTGTTTTGTTAGCTCCGTAGTGGAATGGCCCAATCGAGAATGCATTTGGCTTATATGCTGCTGTTGTTGTGCCTAGAAAGAATTTTCGGGGTTTGAAAGATGGAAACTTAGATGACATAGACAACTCATATGCCAATAAGTTTTCATAGGAACTTGGCAGTGGACTCGACCATGTTAACAACATTTCATCTTTTTGACTCTCTGACGCCATAACAATATTCTCACGTGGCTTGCCTCTTTGAATTTTATCTCTGCAAATATATGTGAGAAAATGGAAAATGAAGAAAAGAAAACAGAGAGGAGCAGTTGTTCAACTAATAATTGAGAACAATGTTTCATTCATAAGTTGTATAAAAAATTCTGAGTTCTCAAGCTACTGCCGGCAGTACAATTGAATTAATCTGAAAAGTATTATACCTAATGCTAAATGAAAGTAAAGAGATTCTACTACAAATCCATAAAAATAGTAAACATTCAGTATTATCAAAGTAATTTCTAACTAAACAATTGTTTTATTTGAAATTAATTATATACAAAAAATGAACTGTTGGAACCACATACCAGTTCCAAATGCAGTGCAGTAGCTACAGAATTTGTGCTTTATGTGGCAACACATTTAAATAGATATTTTCGAATAGAGTTTGTGCCTTTATCTCCCTGAGGATATGCAAAACTTCCAACAACCACGCGGCTAGCAGATAGGTTAATAGGAAGAGTTTATTAAGATAAAGTGGATCCTAGAGATAGATTTCATTCTTTGCTTGTGTCAGTCGAAGAAAAAGCATCTGTAACTTAATACAAAGTGAAAGTAATGAGATTCTGATTCAAAAAAAGCATAAAAGATGCGTAAACATTTTCAAGTATTTTAAATTAAATATGCTTACTAAACAATACGTTTTACATTTATTATACAGTTACCAGGTTCAAATGCAACTACCTGCAGACGGATCAATCAGTTGTTTTGTCTTCTACTTCTAGTCTTGACAATGGGGGAAGTTATTAAAAACATTTGAAGTTTACATTTATTAAAAGGCTATCAAGTTTTGAAATGTTAACTAAATACCATATTATTGATTAAGGGTATTAGTGCTTAATTAGATTAATGTAATCTTTCAAAATTATCTATATTTCCACAAACCCGAAATTGTTGCAAATAAACCCAAAAACCTTCTTCTTCCTCCCGCCATTAACGCATCTCTACCTGCATCTTCTCTCTCTTCTTCTTGGCGTCGTCAACATCTTCTTCTTCCTCTGCATCTTCTTCTTTTCCCTCCTTCCTGTACATCTTCTTCTTCCTCATTCCTCTATATCTTCTTGTTCCTCCGCCATTAACACTTTCTTCTTCCTCCACCATTAACATCTTCTCCGGCAAAGATCTCCCTCCTCCTCCTCCTGACATTTCGCCTAAGTATGTGTATCTCCTTTTTACATTTTATATTTAGTTTACAAAGATTTAATAATGGATGGGGTTTGGGTTATGATTTTGATTTAGTTGTTTAGGTTGTTGGGCGTGTTTGATGTAATGTAGTTTTGAAAGGAGTGAAATTTTGTTGAAAATTTGTTCTGGGTATTTATTCTGGGTATGATGGATCGATTGTAGGTGGAGATGACTAAAAATGTGTTCTGGGCACGATGGATCGCTTAAGCGATCTGGTGTATCGCTTAAGCGATCCGGTAGGTCTAGTAATGCAGCAGATAGATCGCTTAAGCGTCAGGTATGTGGCATAAGATCGCTTAAGCGATCTAGTTAAAGTCTTTGTTGGGAGCAATCGCTTAAGCCGATCGTAAATGGCATAGATCGCTTAAGCGATCACGGTTATTTATACTGAATCGCTTAAGCGATCAAGTGTATCGCTTAAGCGATCCAGTATAAAAACCATGATCGTTCAAGCGATACATCAACCAAATATGCGAATGTGCAGATTCTTTATAAACTATTTGAACCCTTGTACACAGCATTTAGAATATTGTTTTTCTTGCATTACAGGTAGTTGGCTATTATTATGGGAAAAGTTGTTTTGGTGTGAATATTTTGGTGGTGGGGGGGGAAGAAAGTAGGTGGAAGTGGATTGGGAAGAACAAGAAGTTACACCAATTCGTGACTCCAGAGGTTAGTTTTGATGATTTGATTGATGAAATAAATAATAGAAGTATTTGAGTTGCTCGCTAATGATATAGTTGGAAGTATTTTTAAGCAGAGCTCCTGAAAATTATAAGTACCTCTGCTGTTTAAAGTCGGATGAAAGTGTTGAACTTATTTATGATTGATATGGCCGATAGTGGTTCGGGCCGATTTAAGGGTTTCTTAGTAAAAAACCGTTGGAAGTTGGTTCCAAGAGGGGGATAACAGGATGTAGGCGGAGATTTGCCGGTTTAATTTGAACTGCGAGGCCATTGATTTGTTAGCTGAAAAATCAAGAGTAGACGGTGAATTGGGTGGTGAGGAGGACACTATAGAAGAGGTTTGGTGATGGGGGCCAGAATGAAATGTTGAGGAGGAGGACCCCGTAGATGTTCCACAGATGTAGAGATTCCTTTAAATACAGATTATGCGAAGGCGTAGTTGTGAAGAGAACACTATGGTCGTTTATGCAAGTTCAAAGGGGCAATTGGAGGTAGTAGTGGATCAGCTCATGTCTTTACGGATGGATCGGACTTGCGCATAGGATTTATTTGACAACAAAGAGAGTGGGTGAGGAAGCTAAAACTGTTGTCGTGAAAGGTAATTTTGAGTTCATCACCAAAAAGTCAAATTATAGCTGTGACGGTTGCATGTCGTGACCGAAACTGCAAGTGGCGGGTTTTATGTAGAAGGTTGGCGGAGTCGAAAAGTTTATTCTTCACATATACCCGTGAGCACACATGTGGTTTGGGACATATTTTGGGTGAGCATTGACAAGCGTCCCTGATGTTATTGGCAATTTGCAAAAGTCGGTTCGTCGAAGGGAAGTCCATCTCCTAAAGACTTCAGAGACTTGTGCGCACAGAGTTGGGATGTCTGTTAGTTACTGAAATGCTGGAAAGGTAACAACATGCACACGATTTTGTGAGGGGCACGCCGGACACGGGTACGCAGTATTAGAAGCGTACCGTTATATGCTTAAGTTGACAAACTAAGGTAGCAAGACGGCTTTGAAGTGGGACAGGAATATGTTTTAATATTTTTTTTGTTGCTTATGGTGCTGCTATAAGGGGTTTTGTAAACAGAGAAAGGTGTTGGCTGTTGAGTGTTGCTTTCTAACGGGAAGTATGGAGGTACATTGTTGGTGGCCATGCACAGGACACGAAATCACACATATCCGTGTTCTGTGTGTGGTTGACTCTAGAATGACGATGCGTGGACTTGGTTTTTTCAGCAGTTACGTACGATAGTGCCTGACAGTGCAGTTTGTGCATAATATCCGATAGGCACAACTCTATAGAAGGGGGCCACTATTTCCCGTCAAGCACATCACGGATTTCTGTATGAGGCACCTTGGTGAGAACATAAAACAAAAGTTTAAGTGTGCTGGCCTCCTTCGACATACTACATGGCAGCAAAAGCTTATCGGGTTGATGAGTTCGAGGAACACTTCCGCAAATCCGATCAAGATGTTAGATTTGCTAAGTATCTTGAGCATGTGTTGGTTTCAAGAGATGGAGTAAAGCTTCTTTCCTGGAAGAAGGTTTGATGTCATGACCACGACATAGCTGAGTCCATAAATTCGAAGTTGTTATAGAAAGAGAGTTTCCTAGTTGCACTTTTTGATGCAATCCAAAGGACACTGTCGCGGTGGTTCCATGAGCGTCGTATGGAGTCAAATAATTTTACTACAACCCTTGTTCCGTCAGCTGAAAAAATATTGCGAAACATATGGAACTGTCAAATGCACTGTTTGCCTATCCTCTTAGCTCAAAGTTACTGTGCACGGCTATGGTCCGGATGCCCTAGTTAACCTTGTTACAAAAACTTGCAGCTGTAAAGTGCTTGACATTCAACTTTACCTTGTCCTCATGCACTAGGCACTGAAACACCAACGGAAGCCGGATTTTGGTTCAAGAATTTACATGGAACTTTGCTCCCCTTTCTATATACAGATCACTACATGCTAGCATATTCAGAAATGATATATCCGGTGCCTCCGAAGAGCATGGGTAGTGCCGCCAGAGGTGGCTGACATTATCCTCCACCGCCATTGAAAAGACACCAAAGGGGAGAAAAAGGGTTAAGCTTATCCATCAGCCTTTGAGTTCCCCGGAAGATGAATAAGTGCTCAATTTGCCAACAACCTGGTCACAAGAGAAGCAGTTGCCAGAAGTAATTAGGGTCGATTCGAAGAAGGATGAAATTATTGATGTTTAAATTTTATTGTTACCTTTATAAAAATATCTTTATATTGTGTATTCTTATTACATGGTCTAAATATTTGTTGGTGATTTTAGTTTGGAATTAGGCTGTCAAATTGAGAAAAAGTATGGAATTATACTGTTTGGATTTATTTTGTCAAAATTCGGAGAAAAGATGCAAATGTTATTGCCCACATCGCTTAGCGACTAAGTGTATCGCTAAGCGACAAAGTGTTTTCGCAAAGGATCGCTTAAGCGATAAAGGGATCGCTTAAGCGCTCGTGCCACTGGACTGATTGATTCTGCCCAGGTGCATGATCGCTTAAGCGATCCACGATCGCTTAAGCATCCACGATCGCTTAATCGACCAGGGGAAAAAGGCAATATTCGCTTAAGCGATATCACTGATCGCTTAAGCGTCATGGACCTAGGCAGATTTGCTTCTGCCAATCACATGATCGCTTAAGTGATCCATTGTATCGCTTACCGATTCTTCTCAAATGTATTAAAATTTAACAGATACACCCCCACCTACCCACGTGACAGATTCTTGCCACCGGAGCCGGAATCTGACCGGAAAGGCGTTTCGATTCACAGTGGTCGGATCTGGCCGATAGGGCCTCTATATGGCCTTTTCCGGCTAGATCGACCACGGTGTGGCCGAAGGCCCCACGATCCGCCAGAACTGGCCTGAGACGAACGAAAATTCCAGAGCTTCCGTCTGTGCAAGCCAATATATGGCCGTCGTTGACCGTCAAGGTCGGACATTTCATTGAAAGTCCATGACGGGAAGATGTGGCTTTTCCGGCCATATCGACGGTGGATATGCCGGAAAAGGTCACAACTGGCCATTACCGGCCATTTCCGTCGTTCGTTGCTGTCGCGTAGCCAGAATCTGGGAAGTTGGGTGGGTGGGGGTGTTTTTGTTAATTTGAACTTTTTCTTGGTATTAATGAAATTAATTCACTTAATGGGTCAAAAATTAATTAAAAATATACTAATATTTCCTAAATAATTAAGCCACAATATAAAATATACTGAACGAATCATAAACCCTATATGTTTGATATAATGTAATAACGGAACAGTGCTCTGAACGAATCGTAAACCCAGGTTTCATACTGACGTGTAAGAACTAATGTTTTATATAAATGTAATAACGGAATAAGTGCTCTGAACGAATCGTAAACCCTTATAGGTTTCATACTGACGTGTAAATGAACTATATGTTGATATATGTATAACAGAACAAGTGCTTGAACGAATCGTAAACCATAGGTTTCATACTGACGTGTAAGGAACTATATGTTTGATATAAATGTAATAACGGAACAAGTGCTCTAACGAATCGTAAACCCTTATAGGTTTCATACTGATGTGAAAGGAACTATATGTTTGATATAATGTAATAACGAAACAAGTGCTCTGAACGAATCGTAAACCCTATGGTTTCATACTGACTTGTAAAGGAACATATGTTTGATATAAATTTAATACGAACAATGCTCTGAACGAATCGTAACCCTATAGGTTTCAACTGACGTGTAAAGGAACTATATGTTTGATATAAATGTAATAACGGGACAAGTGCTCTGAACGAATCGTAAACCCTATAGGTTTCATACTACGTGTAAAGGAACTATATGTTTATATAAATGTAATAACGGAACAAGTGCTCTGAACGAATCGTAAACCCTTAAGCGATCTTCCGAGGCAGATGACATCTGCCCAGGCTATGATCGCTTAAGCGACCTTTGTATCGCTTAAGCGATATTACTAAAAGATCGCTTAGCGATTTATAATCGTTTAAGCGATCTTTTCCGAGGCAGAATGACATCTGCCATACTATGATTGCTTAAGCACCTTTCGTATCGCTTAAGCGATTATTACTAAAAGACGCATGATTGCATAACGATTTGTGATCGCTTAAGCGATCTTTTCCGAGGCAAATGACATCTGCCCAGACTATTTCGTATCGCTTAAGCGATTATTACTAAAAGACGCATGATCGCTTAAGCTTTTATGATGCTGCTAAGCGATCTTTTCCGAGGCAGAATGACATCTGCCTACAATGATCGCTTAAGCGACCTTTCGTATCGCTTAGGCGATTATTACTGAAATACGATGATCGCTAAGCGACCTCTGGTATCGCTTAAGCGATTATTACTAAAAGACACAGGATCTTATATGACAAACCATACATAGTAAATTGAAACTGCTGATAAATTATCTTATATGGCACAAACAAAATTATCCAAATATCAGATCTAATTCTTTACAATGATCACACCAACATGTAAATATTTATAATTTAGTTTTTGATGCCAAACAGTTAGACCCACAGTGAGGTATCAGGCAGTCCATGCTTGAAAAGATGCCCACGACATCATTCTTCCCGATGCTTTCTGGCTCTGCACTAGCATCCAACAAATTCAAGATGATATCTACAAGGGCGGCAATAGGGTGCCTCGTTGACTTTCTGGGATTGACCATTCCATCTTAGTGACCTACAGTGTAAAACACCATAATATGAAAAGGCATGAATTAGAAAATAGCCAAGCCATGAGAACAAATTAAATAGCAGTTCTGACACAAAGCACACATCAAAACACCATTGAAAATGAACATGTATATACACCCTTATTGATATTAAACAGTCACATAAACTCAACTCAAAAAACCCAGTATGAACATCAACATCACATAAACTATACAATTCGCGTCCAACTTTCATACCCTTTGATTGGGTTCTGGTCACTTAAAACGGATCCATCTGCCCATGGAGCAGTCGACAGCCAGCGCTCCCGACATTCTCTCATTGTTTCGTCATTCAAGCTGTCCATCGGCTGTTGGTCATGTCGAACTGAATAAATTTCAGGGCATATGCCCCACATTCAGCGCTACAATAGGAAGAAGACATTAGCATTATAATAAACTTATAGAACAATTGTATTATGTAAGTTAGTTTTAAACAAAATTTATCTTGACTCATTTATTGGCAGTTAGAGTGCTGAATTCGCCACTTTCCGGTTAGTACCTGATCCCCCAACTGCCCAAACATCCCGCTGTCACGCAACACCGCTGGAACAACCTGGACAGTGGCTCCACCTCGACCTCCAACTGCTTGTCTCGACAAATAGTTGGTTGCAGTCAAGGATCTTCAGACACCCTTCCTCTAGATCGCAGCGACTGCTATCCAGTGCATCTGTTTGACGAGGATGATGCAGTACACTCTTTTAACAAAGCCCAACCGTGGCCATATTTGGCCGATCCCCCCTTACGTACTACATAATCCTATCACAAACCGGAAATCATCAGGGATGCAATCCGACTGTGGTGCGGCCAATCATTTTCGCTTCGTACTTTTGCTACACCACTAGCAACGACATTTTTAATTAAAGACCGATATGCCGAAAACAAGCGTTTGCCCAAACGCCACATCGGTGATAGCACAGTCGGGATACACAGATCACCATCACTAGTCTGTCGTAGCCTCATCAGTGCCAATATCCATCATGTGCTACATCAAATAAAAACAACAAATAATTATGGAAAACCACGGCAAAATAAGGAAAATTAAGTGAAATAACTCACCGAGTCCTCAAGCCACGTCCCCATCGTCAACAACTTCTGAAACCATTCCCGGATAATCCCCTGTCTACACTTTATATGGCCATCAATTCCCGATCCATTGTAAGGCATAAAGGTTTTTTCCTTTCCTCTATTGGCCTATACAAATCGACATTTGAGTCCAATTTCCCTTCCCCACTTCCTCCCCCTTCCTCCAATTTTACATCCCCGCTCTTCGCCTCCCAACTCCCCCTCCTCCATTATCACCGCCCCACTTCCACCACCAACCTCCTCAACCTTCTCTCTTTCTGGTTGTTCCTCCATTTGTTTCTTCTTATTTCTTCTTCTTTACCTTGTCACTACCATGTAAGGCGATTCACAAACTTGCTCTTTCGGCTCTCTCTTTTCAGCCAGTTTGCACTTCAACCGCCTTTAATTCTCCACCAACTTCCTCCTCCATTGTACCAACTTCGCCTTCCATTGTAGCTACTTTCCCTCCCACCTTATCCACTTTCTTCTCCACCCTTTTCATTGTTTCTTCCATCTTCTCAAGCTTTGCATAAACGACTGTTGTAAAACTCTCAAACAGGCCGTTTATGAGGTCAACAACCTCATTCTCCCTACGCCAATGTCTCGGCAAAGCTTACTTGTTGTACCGGTTTGCTGAGGCATACGAACCTCTTCCTCCTCTTTCTCCTCCTCATCCTCGGCCCCCCGAGCTTCATTATCCTCAGCATCAACGACATTGTCAAGCAATGGCCCTGCAACGCCATCACATGCGTGACCCTTTTAGGTCCCCAGCATGCGTTCATCTGTTCATCCCTTTCATCCTCCATTGCTCTGAAAGATGTGAAATAGTCTCTTTCCGCTTCATCCCCAATAGGGTCAAAAAGGGACAACGACTCCCTGCAATAAGAAATAAAAACAATCAGATTGAGCAAAATAAAACAACTGCATATTCAAAGCTTAATCCTTCAATCTTACCCCAGCTGCTTGAATCTCAATCTCTATTGGCCATAATCCCAATGGTTACACTCTCGACATGCCACCGCAACATCCTAGGAAATTGCTGTTGCACATTCACATTGTTGCTCCTCCCCCCCCGCTTAGCGAAGACAGGGATGGCCTCGTACATCCAAGCCTACATTGTAAAAACAGTCCATGTCATTATTCAAACACACATATTATAAAAATTAACATAGAGCTATTAATATTTACCTGCATTGCCCATGGGAAGCCAAACAAATTATACGTGCTTGGTTTAGCCTTCCCGCCCCATTCGGCATGCTTTAACGCCATGTCTGGTTTTTTCAGCTCTTGATGGTTCGCTCAAATGATATCCGTCCCCACGGATAAGAATTAAGAACTCCAAGTCGCTTACAAATAGAACCAATCTTTCTCAATAGCTTTTGTTGAGTCACCAGCCAATAAGATAGAATGTAAAAACAATATCAAGCACACTTTTATCTTCTCTGCATCACTAAACCGAACTGTAGATAGCCTCTTCTCTAAAACTTTTCCTGTAATAGACTTTGCCCCTTCTAAACCTTTTTACAAAGTTTATGGCTCCCGCACTCTTCCTTACTGCGTCTGCCTCCGCCTTAGTTGGCACTTTCCCGCATCCTAAGCCCGTCACCAACGCATACTCCATCAGACCAAACTGTAGTGGCTTCCCCCTCCACCACGAACCACATTCATTTTTTTTTCTTGCATTTTACTGAGTGCATCAACATGTAATGCACTCCCTGCCCCCAAAATGACTTTTTCCACTTTTTTCCCATTCTTAAAAACTGACCGAAACAAGTGTCCACAATCTCTTTCACCGTGCCTCATTCAGCTAAAATGGCCCTTATTCTGTCAAAAACCTCCCAGCTCGACCTCACCGTCACCCTTGCAGGGAATAGGGTACCTTCTCACTTATGGCTCCAACTCGTACTCTCTAACGCTTCGGTCCGCACAATCTGCACAATCGTTAAATAAAATGTCATCAACAAAAATAAACCAAAACCTATAGTCGCTTAAGCGATCTCGATCGCTTAGAAATCTTTACTGTCTCATGCAAGATCGCTTAAGCGATTTTAATCGCTTAGCGACCAAAATTTAACTGAGAATCTCTTAATCTGTGATTCTGCCCAGCCCTAAGATCGCTTAAGCGACCAAGAGTAAACACTCATGATCTCTTAAGCGATCTTTGGTCTGGGCAGAATCATCTGCCCAGATCTCAGATCGCTTAAGCGATCATTTTTATCCTTAAGCGATCATTGCTGCATCACGAGTAAAACAGAAAATCGCTTAAGCGATACAAATGATCGCTTAGCGAAATTACAAGCAACATTCCCAAACTACGTACCCTTCTTCGCCGGCCTTCTCCTCGTCGCCTGGATCCTCCGGCGACTCCTCCTGCCCTGAATTATCGCCGGAATCCACCTCCTGGCCTGCATTCTCTCCGGAATCCTCCTTCTGGCCTGAATTCTCGCCTGACTCCTCGTCTTCAGACCCCTTTGCTGGTTTTTCCCTCTGTTCTTGTGCCGCCGGCTCTCCTCTACGTGTGGACCACCTTCAATGGTCAGATGATCCACCGGAGCAGCCATTGAACTGCTTGCCCACCGGAATCTGATTCGAAGTGGCGTTGGTTGTCGTCGTCATTGTGAGTGTCAGCCATGGTTTTGGATTGAATTTGGTGTGAAAATTTGTAGTTTGGATTGGAAATATGGGCTGGGTCGCCGGAAATCGCGCAGTTCCGTTTATAGTTGAAGAAATCGATTTTAGGGTTCAACAAATCGATCGAAAATCGCGCTATATCGCCGAAAATCACGACTGTATTCGGTTTAGGTTTAAGAAATTGATTTAGGGTGCAAATCATTGGTGTTGGATCAAAAAATCGCGTCTCCCTTTCGTTCAAGAATCGCTTTTCAACTGATGAATTTCGATTAACGACGTGATAGTTTTACGGGCCTTGTTTTGCGAAATTTCAAAATTTGAAAACTTTCATTATTTCTGATTCGGCCCACATATGTTTTAATCTTTTCATTTTAACCCATTTTACGTGTTTAATTAATCCTAACTATGCCACGTCATCTTCTCTAAATTATAAAATATTTGATGAACAGTTTCAAGGCCATTTTCTTAAATACATACTTGGGGGGACCGGGCAGCTAAATTTTCTCCTTATTTTGTATCCTATATCTCTCTCCAATTCTATTTTACTAATATTCTTTTATAAAAAAGAATCTCTATTTGATTAATCTTCCAAGAGTATATAATTAATATTTATCATCTCTATTAAACCAACGTTAATTTTATAATACCACGATGGAAAAAATCTAGAATACCATTGAACTATCATATTATTTATACAACAAAGCAAGATAATTACAACACTTGGGACTTGTTGACCGTGAGTGTTGGTGTAGGTGTTGCAAATACTTCGGTCTTTAATTTTGATTTGGCAGCTCTTACTTCCTAATTAATTAGTTTCCATTTAAATATACAAATTTAATCTTAAATATAAATAAAAACTATAAAGAAAAGAATATACATAAAAATTCTAAGAGAAAACAAGTTAAAATAAATCTTTATACAATTACCAATTTCTTCATCCTACTTCACCAAAATCAACCTAAAAAAGATTTTAATACGGAGATCTTCATCAAAATCGAACTAAGAAACGTTTTAATACTGAGTTCATTAGGCAAAACAATCAAATTTCACACCAAATAAAATTTAGTCTCTAAGTCACACAACACTTTCCTCAAAAACAAATACAAATAAACTGATAAGCATTCAATTATCAATTTCTTCATCAAACCCCTAGCAAATCAATGGTCGTCACCAAGCACTCAAGCATTAACTCTTTTTGTCTCCCACGACACCCAAAATAGAATACAAGGTCTGCAAGAATGCGAGAATCAAAAGGATTGCACCCACTACTTGGGAAACAAGAGCCAAGGGGGTGGTGAAGTTGTGTAAATAGAAAAAGCGCAACCTCGGCCACCAGCGTTTACGGTGTTTGTTCATTTGATGGCAAATGTCATGATAAAAGAACTGCTTCACAAATGTATCATGGTATAGCTTATTGAAGAATTGCTTTGCATCCTGAGACTTCAACCAATTATCTATGCTATCATTCTCGGCGAGTATCTCAACGTCATTTTCGGTGTCAACGAGATCATCCATGAGTTTGGCATAAGAAGTGATTATGGGTGCGTAATTTGGATAAGATTGCTCAAAGCTGATGAGGTTTCGGAGAATTGTTTCGGTTGTCTCTTGAATAAGCAGAGGTGGAATCTTGAGAACACCATTTCTAAAGTTTATGTCCAAGATGGTATCTCTCATTTCTTTCTCAAACTTGATACCGGCCTGCTTGAGCTTTGTAGCACAAGGGAGGGGTTCCCATCCCCCGTCTTTTTGTTTGAGCTTATCAGGTGACAACGGTAAAAGCAATGAATGCCTCAACAAGTCAAGGATGTGCTTGATCTCGATTTTCCTTTCTTGGAACTGGTTTTCTGTTACTGAAGGTTTCTTGGATGAGAACAAGTTACCGAAGAAGTCAAGGGCGAGTTTGATTAGGGATTCGTTGGGAGAAAGTTTGGTCAAGGTAAACAAACGCTCAAGCACCAGCCAAGGAATTTGGTTTTCCAGCAAAATCAGGTCATGGTTTAAGTACTCTTGCAAACAAGCAATGGTGAATATGGGGTCATTTGGATCTCTAAGTTCTTCTTTGGCATCTTTGCGGAACAACTCACTAATGAAGCAACCATCAAGTAGCAAAATTTCAACAAATTTCTCCGTAGTTAATCCAATTGACTCTGCATAGCAATTACGGGCCTGTGCCTCAACTGAACTGATGGCTTGGACTAGCTCACTATATAGCTTCTCTAGGCATGTTGATCGACCGAGGAGGCCTTGTAAATAGTCCCATTTGATTTTTTGTGTGAATTCCAGTTGCTTTCCATGGTGAAGTGGCCCAAATGAAAATGCATTGGGTTTATACGCTGCTTCATTGTGCTTATAGAGAATTGTTGGGGTTCTAAAGATGGAAAAATTAGGTGACACTGAGAAGTTATAACGCATTATATTTTCAAACGAACACTGCAACGAGTTGATGTTAATCGTACTGTAATCCTCTTTTTTACTCTCTGCCATACTGATCTTTATATTGTATCTCTGAGAAAGAAAAAAATAAAAAACTCAGCTTAATTGAAAATTACTTAAAGCCGGCATTTGAGAACTATAAATGTTCTTGTATTCAGAAGGGAAATTATAGCTAGTTCATATAAGAAATTGGCTAAGCAGAATGTTTCAAGTTTCAACCGCTAAAAAATGCTAAATAGACAGTAATTTTAAGTTGTGAAAGTATGAATAGCTGGAATCGAAATAACGGTTTCAAATAAAACATCTTATAGATTAAATTTGTCCTTTATTTTGATTTCTAGCTATTTCCAATCACAGACTTCTGTCTGCTTAGAGCAATCTGCAACAAAAGTTTTTATTGAACAATCATCAAAAACAACTTAAATACACAAGCAAGAAAATTATATGAACTTTACAGAGCATATACGAAGATCTAGTGCGAGTTGCTACAAATTAACTTAATATAAATATTAAATTCATGATTATTAACAAGAATTAAAAGAGGGGAAAATCATACTGACCTGTGGGTATGTACGTAACTCTTCTGGGTTTTACTAATGAAGCTCTCCAACTCCAAGAACCCCTAGCTAGCCTCTGCTGCAGAGGCTCTACAAAAATTTAGAGGCTGGGTAAATGTGCACATTTTACTACCATCTCATTCATGAGACTCTTTGAAGTGAAGGAAAGAATCACTGAAAGTGGCAAACTAATTAAATGAAAAATTATCCTTTCCTTCTGGACAAGGCAATAAAAAGAAATAAAAATTATGCCCCTTTTGAGACTGAATAAATTCCATACAATTCTATATTTAATGATAAAGATACAAAATTTGAGATGGAAACTCGAAAAGCTGCAACTTTAGAATCTCACTATGTAACTGTTCCAAACCCTAGCACAATCATTACTTATGCAATGCCTGAAACGATTTACTTAAAACAATATTTTCGAAATCTGGGTTTATTAAAGCAACTTCAAAAGAAGACATCCAATATTAAAGTTCATAATTCTACTGAAACTTAATTAGCAAATTTACAAATGCATATATAAGGCAATTAAATTAATATCAATAAAAAATTGAAGTAGATTTGGTTTACAAGATATTCACTGTTCAATTATTTTTGCAAAGATAAGACATGAAATAAACTTTTAAACTGTTGATACTTAATTTTGACACTAACGACTTACACGTGTAAAGTGCTAAGCGGGTTCAGAAGTTATACGTGATATAAAAATATGTAGCGAGAGAATAAGTAAAAAACGGTTTTTAAAGTGATTCGGATGCTCAAAAGCGAATCCTATGTCCACTGTAGTTGTATTAATACATGGTTACAGTCAGGTCGCATGTGGCGAGCTGAATTACAATCTAGAGAGAATATATAGAGAGAGAGAAAGAGAGAATGTATGTTGTATAAGACTAAAGATAAGTCAATCCTGTAAATGAGAGAGGAGCCCTCTATTTATAGTTGGAGTATATAATCATGAGTCTGTAGTCCGACAAGTGTGGTACAATTCTTAACTTGCTTCCCATTGGTTGTCTGCATGAGAGACATCCTTAAATCGCGTAGGGCTTGGGCAGGTGGACGATTCCTCGCTACTCGCAAGCCTAACATTTACCTGTTGCATTGACGAGAACCATACCTGTTCCGTCATTGCGCGATGTGGCAGCGTTTAGACGGCACAAAGCCTCCTTGAATTCTAATTGGCCCTTGTTGACAAAAGTCCACGTCAGCCCTGACTTTTTAAGCATAACATAAACAAACAACACATCTTACATAAAAGATCAAATTATTGGGAGTTGTAACAAAACGTATTAAGGATGAATATTCATACACTATTTCATTCATAAAATAAAAGGATACATATTTATATACACTTGTAGTGTTCTAAGCTAGGTAGGTGATCAATTCCTATTAGGATACAAGATCAATGTGATCCCTATAATCCAGGACATCAATGTGATCCCTATAATTTAGGAAGTTAACTACATCTGTAACACTCCCCCTCAAGCTGGAGTATAGATATCAATCATACCCAGCTTGTTACAAAGATAATTAACTCGAATCCCAGTTAGAGCCTTTGTGAAGATATCTCTCAATTGTTCTCTAGTCTTCACATACCCAATGGAAATCAGACATTGCTGTAGTTTCTCACGGATGAAATGGCAATTGATCTCAATGTGTTTTGTTCATTCATGGAACACTAGATTAGATGCAATATGAAGAGCCGCTTAGTTATCACACTATAATTTCGCTGGTACTAAAGTTTCAAGGCCTATTTTAGTTAGGAACTGATCTATCCACATTATTTCACAAACAGCTTGTGCCATAGCCCTATATTCCGACTCTGCACTTGATCGTGACACGACATTCTGCTTCTTGCTCTTCCATGATATTAAATTTCCTCCGACAAAGACACAATAGCCTGATGTGGATCTTCTATCTACCTTGGAACCTACCTAATTTGCATCTGAGAAACATTCAATATGAGAGTGACTATGATTGGCATATAATATACCATGTCCAAGGGTTC